AGAAATAAAAATGGAAAGCCCGATTGTACAATTTTTTTTAACGGGTAATCGGTTCGGTTCGGTTCGGTACACCATAACTAAGTACCATACCCGCCCCTAAATGAAGCGGTTCATTAAAATCAAAACCATAACCGCCCCATTGCACCATCGGTTCGGTTTTTTTCGCCCCATTCGGTTCGGTTAACCGCGATTTTCGGTTTTCACAGTTCGAATTACCATCCCTACCTGTAATTAAGATTACTGACAAATTATGTACTACAATTAAATATTAAACGACCATTCTTGGATATTTACCTAATTGAAAATAATTGATGTCGGGTAGAATAACGATTATTCTGTAGGCTGGATCCAGCAGATAATTAATATGGAAGAACGCAAGAGAAAATGCCAAGAAAATAAGAAAATTCTTTATTATTCAACTAACATGCGAAAATAACCTACAAACCGGGTTAAATAGCTAGAAAATCGTAACTATCGAAATTTTACTAAAAATAGCAAAATTTCAATAATCATGCCAAAAAAAAGTACGTAATAAAATAAATAATATCCTAAAAATCTGGCTCAAATCGGGTTCATAATCTATGTTAAAAGGCAAACGATATATTACTAAAAAAGGAAAAAAAATAATTAAAATTGGGGATTCAGAACGGAAAATAGCGAATTTTGCCCTCGAAATGCACATCTAGTGCTTCGAAAAGAGCTTTTCGAATTGGGGTCATGAGCGCGATTCTAATAACCGTAGCCAAAGTTATGGTTAAAATACCGAAACGTGTCAAAAAACGACCCCAATTAGGAAAGATCGTCGATTACTTGCCATTTTTGCTCTAATCTGCCAACGCATGGCACCTCAGCGCCATCAACGAGCTATCGGACAACTCGGCTCATCTGACTCAGATCCTCCTACATCAGTCGCCCCGGGTTGGAAAGAACTCGCCCTCGAGTTCACATTAGTGTCATCAGAATCGACAAAACAAGGATTTAGGTGTTTCACATCAAAGACATTAGAAGTCTTCAAATGGTTAGGGAGGCGCAGTCTGTAGCCATTATCGTTGATCTTCTGTAGGACCTCATAAGGTCCAATCTTCCACTCCTTAATCTTATTATATACTCCCCAATAGGAAAACGATCACGATTTAATACCGCCCAAACAAAATCATCAACTTCAAAAAGTACCTGACGACGATGACTATCAGCCTGAATCTTGTACTTGGCATTATTCTCGTGAATGGCTAGCTTTACATGTTCATGAACCCCAAAAATGTTCTGTCATCTCATCTGCCTTGTCTCAAATGACCCACGAACGAAATAGGGGCTAAATCAAGTACCCCAGATGGATTCCGACCATAGACAATCTCAAATAGGCTCATTTCTGTGGTTCTATTATTCGACTTGTTACAGGGAAATTCTGCTTGAGGTAATACCAAATCTCACCGCTTCAGTTTCGTTCTTGATTCCTCAAAAGATTTCCCAAGCTCCGATTCACCACCTAGGGCTGACCGTCTGTCTCGGGGTGGTAGGCGCTGCTAAAATTCAACAACGTCCCCAGCTTCTCCCATAAACTTCTCTAGAAATGACTCATGAACTTGGTGTCATGGTCCCAAGTAATTGATTGAAGAACACCTGCAAACGCACAATTTCTCTAAAGTAAAGATGGGCGATTCGAGTAGCATCAATTGTTTTCCAGCAAGTTATAAAATTGGCCATCTTTGAAAACCTGTCAACCACGATGAAAATAGAATCCAAGGCCCATTGGGTACGGGGTAGTCCCAATACAAAATCCATACAGACATCAAGCCAATGGCTTCAGGTGCTGGTAAAGGTGTGTAAAGGCCCCGCATTAATAAGAACTCACTTGGACCGCTGATACACATAACAACGCCCTACATAATGAGCCACGTCACTACTCAATTTGGGCTAATAATAGTTAGAGGATACCAAAGTCAATGTCTTATCTCGCCCGAAATGGCCCATGTTATGAAGTTCACTAATAATCTGTTGCCTTAGTAAACAATCTGGAATGCACAACTGTAATCCACGAAACAGATATCCGTTATGAAAAATAAAATCATTCGTTCATTGTCAATTCATCGATCAAAATTTGAAAGAGTTGATGAACTCTAAATTCGAGTGTAACCTAAAATTGTAGAGTTATCATTAATGTTTGGGAACTTATATGAATAGTTCAAGATTTGTGGGTACAATATTACTACTTGCACGTGCATTCCTAATTGAGGAATTGTGGTGATAACTTATTTTACAAGTTACATTCACTATATCTTATAATCATGGAAAATTTTCTATGGAAGGTGAAAAGATGGGATGTCTTTATACTAATTTTAGAAATATGAGGATGGTTCACAAACGTGATGCACTCTAAGTCAAAGTGAATAAATGAGATGAAAATTGATTATTGCATTTGTATTGGATATGCAATAACAATTGTTAGAATATTTGAAGAATATTCATAAATTAAACTACAGCGTAGTTAATACTGATTCAATTTAAATTGAATACCCATAATTCGAAATTCACTAATAAAATGATTAACTAATGCAATAATGTCTTAGAAATCCTCTAACCAAATTGTTAATTGGAAGATGATATAACTTTAGATAAAGGTAGATAAAATCATACCACGTGAAAGGATTTTTTAGTTGGTGATAATTTGTATCTAGTGTGATGACTAGCTATATATAATGAGATACGGAGTTACTTGTAATTGTATATATATAAATGTATGTCATAAAAATAATACTACAAAGGAGTTGATCTCTAATGGTGTGAACTCATGGATCCACTAAGAAAAGGTTTATCGAGAGATCAAATAGACTGCATATCGAAGGGAATATGCTCAAAATCATACTACTTAAGAGCATTGTAATGTTAACCTAACCTTTTTGATTGAAATCCCAAGATATTGGTTTAATGGGACAATTAACCTATAAAGATTCAATAAGCATTTGGGAATTAACTCATACACATTCCTATGAAAAGAAAAGGGTTATGTGCAAGAATGTTAAAAAAAGTAAAGTTATACTTTTAATGATTCCTATATCTTGGAAGAGCCAAGTGAAGTATGATTTGATACTATAGGAGATCAAATATTCGAATAGGTTCCAATAGTCAAATAATGCACTAGTCAAATCATGCAAGTAAATAGACTAACATGTTCTACTCGTCGAATAGATGATCGTTGTATATTTGAAATCTCAAAATAATTTCGGATCAATGAGAAATTGTTGTCCAAAAAAGGAGAAAATCGAATTTTTGATCATATAAACCTACCATTCGAGCGACAGCTTGGCGCCAAGTTCCTGCTTTACGCGCTCGAGCGACAAGGCTATCGGCCGTGAGCAACGTAAAGGGCTACATCCTTTCATGAAAAATAGAGTTTTGGGGCATGTCTCTGCGGCCACTAGGGCTGGACATGGTCCGATTCAGTTCGATTATGAAGAGAACCGAACCAAAATTTTCGGGTATTTAATAAATGGAATCGTCGGGTCCAAATATAATTATGGAACCTTCGAGTTCGATTACGTTCGATTCCGTTCGGTTCTATTCGGTTCCGTAGCATAATTAAATTTTTTAACATTTATAGTAATACTACATAAATAACAAGTTTTACAAATTAAATGCACTATCTAACATTAAGAATGTTGAATTTCATTCATCAAGAAAGTTGAATTCCATCTAGTAGGAACATCTAAAACAGGAAGTTTTGTGCAAGCAATCTTTTCCCTTTCAATACAACATTTAAATTTTATTAATCGGGAAGGAGATGATTGAAAATATCGAATGAAATTATGAAATTGGAAAGGGAATGATAAAAACATAAAAATGTCTAAATCTTGGGCTAACAATGAAATTATAATTGGGCCAAAAAATTGAATTTAGAAATTGGGTTGGGTTGGGTTGGGATAGTTAGGCATGGACTTGGCTTGGTAGTTGAAGCATTAATCACTAAATTAGTTAATTTGCTAAATTGTTTAGAAAAAATTAAAATAAGTTAATTAATTCAATATAAAAAACTATTTAGATTCGGTTCTTCGATTCTTGGTTTAGAATAGAGAACCGAACACATCAGTTCTCGATTCAGATACCCGTTCAGGTATTTAACTTATGAAGAATCGTTCCATTCGATTCGGGAGTTTTGTCCAGTCCTAGCGGCCACAGCCCCTCATCCTCTATAATTGGATACCCTTATTGTTTCACAATGATTTCATTTCATTTTCATTTTTTTTCATCTAAACACGTCATCAAAGTCATTTTTTTACATCAAAAATCATGTTGTTGGTAGAGAGAAAATACCGTTTCAATTTCGTTGGTCTACATAATTTGGAGTGATCATATTGCGGGACGTGGTCGTTGTATTTGGGAGATAATTGTTGAAAAATCGTTAGTACCGTTGCAGGACAAATTTGTCTTAAGGAGAAAGAATTCTACTCTTGTCTCGACCAATTCATAATATTTTCATTTCGTACTTTTCGGTTTCGAATTCTTCTAAATTTTATTTCAATTTCAGTATGGAGAAGAAAGGCTAGAATTCAAGAAATCGCTTCTCATTTCGTCTTCAAGTATTTGACTTCGGTAAGTCGAAATTCTATTTGATTTCCTGCTTATAAAAATGGTACGTTGTAGAATATACTGTATGCATGTTTGTAACTTATACCCAACATTAGTGACATCTAAAAAAAATATTAATTGAAAAATAAAGGAAAAACAATAATGATTGGTGGAAACAATAAAATTTAAATTTAATGATTCTATTATGATCAAGATTATCTTTATTTATTCTTTGGAGACATTGGACAAAACTAGGATGCTATGAAAGGGTTATTGCATTTACTAAAAATGGTTGCAAATGAAACTAAAGAGACAAGTGGAATGATCAATACATCATCCATGTATATTAGTAAAAAGGAAATATAGATAAAAAAAAAAAATTAATATTTATTATACAGATACAGTCCTCAGAGGTCTCCAATATTTAGTTTATTGCCTCAAAGGTGAAGAAGACATCTCAAAGATTTGCCATCTATAAGTAGCTGTAGAGCTTGGTTTATATTGGCAAATGGCATCTCATGAGTGATAAATTCATCCAACTTCACCTCCTGAAATGGTCAATAAATAATTTCAAGGTTATAATAATTAATTAAGAGGTAACAGAGAAGGGAAGTAGGTACTTTACCCCATTCATGCATTGGTTCGCAAAGTGTGGCAATTGGGACTTCCCTTTGAAGTCTCCAAATACAGATCCTACGATTCTTCTGCCGTCGAACAACTCCATTGGATGCAGAGGAAGCATCCTCGGTGTTGGGTGAATCCCCAAAACTACTGTCAATCCCCAACCCTGTAACAAACGTTAAAATTCTTAAAATTAAGGGAAAATTGTAGCCACGGTACCAAACATTTCACATTTTTCCAGACTTTGCCCAAACCTTTGTTTTGTGTCATCCACGTTACCAAATCTGTAAACAATTCGCACCCGGAGTCCAAATTGACTGTTTCCGTCTAGTTGGCCGTTAGTTAACCAAAAAAGTCAAAATTGACCAAATTCATTAAGGACAAAATGATACTTTTATAATTAATAAAAAAGGTTTATAATAATTCAATAAAAAAAAAATTAAACTAAAAAAAATTAAAAATTAAAAAAAAAAAAAGCCTCTCTTCAATTGTGCCGGCACACTGTCGCACCACCACCGGCACTACCCCCACCAAATACCACCACGACAATCAAACCAAAACAAACCTCCCAAATCCACAATCAAACCAAACAAACTCCCTATTCTCCTTCCCAGATTGTGCCCAGATCTGTCTCAAACTAAAACCCAGATTGACGCATCCATTCCTTCAGTATCCCTATCTTTCTCTTCGAATTGATGCATCCAAATTGCCAAATTGACGCATCCACGCACAATCTGGACCTTTGCCAAATTGTGAGTTTGTGTACTGAGTTTGCGAGGAAAAACCCATTTGCCAAATTGTGATTTTGTGTACTATGTTTGCGAGGAAAGGTAGAGAGGATCTAAGATTTGGGTTTTCCAGCAACGTTTTATGCCTTTTATTCATCTCTATTCATCATCTTGTTGTTGGCAGTGACGGAGATGGTAGTGGTTGTTGTTGGCGGTGACGGAGATGGCAGCGGCGCGGCTATAGGGTGTAGAAGAAGATGATTGGGGTGTTGGTGGAGGAGGGGGTGGGGGTGGGGGTGAAGAATGTGAACAGTAGTTTTTTTTATTTCTTTTCTTTTCTTTTTCTTTTTTTTTTTTATAATCATTTTAAATGTAAAATACAAAATTAACATTTTGTCCTTAATGAATTTGGTCAATTTTGATTTTTTTCTTTTTCTTTTTCTTTGTGATTATTTTAAATGTATTAATTGCAATGTCCCCATTTTGTCCTTAATGAATTTAGTCAATTTTGATTTTTTTGGTCAACTAACGGTCAACTGGACGGAGACTGTCCATTTGGACTTCGGGTGCGAATTGTTTAAAGGTTTGGTACCGTGGATGGCAAAAAAAGAAAAAGTTTGGGTAAAGTGTGCAAAAATGTGAAAGATTTGATACCGTGACTGCAATTTTCCCTAAAATTAATGCTACGTCGCTACTGATCGAATAAGTACCATTTATAATATTCTTATTTTTATAAGCTCATATTAAAGAATAATCATTTAATGGGACATGAATTATTGATTTGGATGCAGTGAACTCCATGTGCACTACACTACAAACTTATTTTATTTTTTTATATGTCCTCAATCCGAAGCAACCAAGAAATTTGACCAACTTATTATTAAACTAAAATTTTATACATTCAAAAAATAATAATAAATTATAACCCCTGTTTGGTGGGTATGAAAATAAAATTTTTAGTAGATTTTGATAAAAATTGATCAAACGTGTAGTTGAAAAGTTGTGGATCAATTGAAATATATAATTAAAATTAACTATTGAATTTAACTTAGATCGTAACAACTTTTGTCACACAAAAATAAATTAAATGGAGAAACGTACATCATGGGTGGATAAAAAGGCCTCCCGGAGTACATCCAAATTTCCAGCACACTCAAAGCTATAGTGCACACCTCCATTAGTCAATTCCCTAATTTTCTGCATAACATTAACATAGAACGTTGACGAAGATAAGATAATTGCCCAATCAAACAAAAAATAACATAGGGGGATTAAGCCTTCCGTTTCTTACGAGGAAATTCTACCCTTGGGAAATGATAAAATCAAGGTCAAAATAAGAGAGAGAGAGAGAGAGAAACCTGGTGAACTGGTTTTTCCATGTCCTTGGGATTTATGAAGTCTGTGATTCCAATTGCCTCACCTTTGCAAAAATAAGAGAGAGTACATAATTTTATTGACACAGTAACGAAAATGCACATCGGTAATCATTTGTCATACCTTTGAAACGTTTGTCCGGGTTTTGACACAAGTAACGAAAATGCACATCGGTAATCATTTGTGATACCTTTGAAACGTTTGTCCGGGTTGATGTCCACTCCTATAATTCTTGAAACTCCTCTGGTTCTTGCCCCTTCCACAACCTGCACGAGTATTCACGTACCCACAGATATCAGTTTTTACTCTTAAGGGCCCCGGACGTCTAGCATGATTGGGTTTATATAAGAAATAAAAAAGGGTGTGGGTGTTGTTTTTAAGAGAACATACAGCAAGTCCCACAGCTCCTAAGCCAAAAACAGCCACAGTTGCACCAGCCTGCACGTTTGCAGTATTCCATACGGCTCCAAGACCTGGATTCATTCAGTTCTTTCAAATCTAATCCCAGTTATTACGAGGGATCAGTTTAAATTTTACTTGCCTGTAGAAACGCCACAGCTAAGCAGTGACATTTTCTTAAGTGGAGCTTTCTTGTCAATCTTGACAACACAGGCTGAATCAAGCACTGTGTACTCGCTGAAAGTGGATGTGTTGAGAAAATGATATATGGGTTTCCCATCTGATTTTGTGGTAAACCTTGTTTTTCCATCGTTTGCCATCACACCCTTGAACGGATTCACCCGGAACTTCTCGCACAGATTAGTTTTCTCAGATTTGCAGTAAGCGCAATCCTGGCATTCTCCGTTGAATATTGGAACAACGTGATCCCCAATTTCCAAGTCCGTGACGCCTTCTCCCACGCTTTCCACTAATCTATATATCTCAAGATGCAAAATCAACAAGAAAATTTCTGTACTAAATCTATGGGACAAGATTTTAGTTGGGATATCTTCTTCTTACCCCGAGGCTTCATGGCCTAGAATTCGTGGGTACATCCGCTGAGCTTCGTTCTTCAACAAATTAAAACACAAATCACGACAGGTTTGATCGATAAAGAAGACGTAACCCACATCAGATATATACGATGAAATTAATTACCTCGCCTTGCCAAGCGCTAAGATCGGTGTGGCAAATTGAAGTGAAGAGTATCTTGATTCGGACTTCCATTTTCTGAGGAGGATCAACCAAAATCTCTTCCATCACAAGGGGCTGCTCCGGACCATACGCCACAGCAGCTGCATGCATTGATTAATGATAAACAAATTAATCTCAACCCAACTAATTGATAACTTTTTCTTACCTTTGCATGCTATAACTTTCCCAACCATGTCATCGCCATCGGTATTGGAAGCATAATTTCTACCCATTTCTGCTTGTATTTTGTGAGTTTGTTAAACGATTGTATAGTCCAAAGAGAAGCAATCTTATGTCGTATTTATAGGCAAGAAAGAAAGTGTAATAAGGTTCTCTCCAATCTTATCTCTGGTCTGTCCCAATTTTTAAAGAAAGAGACAAAACACAGTTAATGACTGCATAACAAGAAATTTCAATATTAGAGCTCAATAAACTACTTAATTTGCAACAAACAATCTTAACTTATTTCAAAGATTAAGCCCGTATTTCATGGCCATTATTTTGAGAAAATAAAATTTTGATTTTTGATTTTTGGAAAATGTGTGGTTAAAAAAATAGGAATTTTTTTTTATTTATGTGTAAAATATTTTATTGTATAAATGTATAGTTGAAAATGAATATAAAAATTAAAGAGTTTTGAATAATGATTGCCAAACAAAACTGTCAAAACATGTTCATGGTATAATTTCAATAAAAATGTAAGATTTGGACACTCCTCCTAGAAATTTATTATTTTTTTAAAATAATATATCTTTCATTTTTTGTTATCAATTCTTTATTCATTATCCAAAAAACATGGCTTGACAGACTCCAAAGAAAAAAAAATATCTAGAAAAGTCCGATAAATACAATTATATGAATTTGGACAAACTCCATTGAGTCACCAGCCGCTGTTCACGTGGAATACGGGTCAACTCTTGAGACATCATGTGTTTGAAACTTGACAGATTATTTATTTCTTTATTTATCAACTTGGCCCTTGTTTATCCTCACTTTCCAGAAAAAAAAAAAATTCTCAAATTCATTTTTAATTATTTTATTTTTCAAATAAAATAATTTTACGCGTAAATCCAAAAAAAATCTTAATTTTTAATCATACATTCTCCAAAATAATCATTATTACAAAACATCTTCTCAAATAAAAATGAGAATATTTCGAAGTCTTCGACGCACAGCTCAGCAATGAATAAAAAAATATACTTGTGAACATATGCATGTCATAATGTATATGTTTTTGAAAAAAATAATACATTTATCAACTATATATCAATAAAGACGGAACATGTAAGCAACTCGATTCTTAAAATTATTGCTTTGGCGGTGGTGTTAGCAATTGTTTGCCTAAGTTTTGATTGAATCATGGGGGTGGAGTCATAAATTTTATTCATTGGGGGTAAATCTTAACTAATCAAATTGTAGTGAGGTATTTTATACTTAGAGCCTGTTTAACAATAATTATTGTAGAAAAAATTAGTTTTGAATAATGATTTTTAGGATAATATATAATTAAAAAGTAGGGATTTATTATTATTATTATTATTTTTTATATGTATAGAATATTTTATTGTGTAAATGAGTAGTTGAAAATAGTCATGTACCAAATCATAAAATAAACGAATGGATGTCAAACGTGCACTTAAATTATCTTCTTTTAAAAATATATTAAGCTCATGTTTGTTTTCATTACTCTCAACAATAAAATGAGAAATTTGACTCTTTTTTTTAAAATAGTGGGGTCCCCTCACTCACAAAATGGTCAACTATTGCGGCTAGGCTGGGACTATTCCAAAAGTACAAATTCTCATTTTTTGGGTGAAAGTAGTGGAAACAAACATATGCTAATATATTTTACCACTTTTTAATAATATGTTAGTTTACTTCGTTTTTATTTTATAGATCAATGAAAAGTAACATTTCTGTTACTACGTGTTCTCTCATGGCACAAAAGGTCCTACGTGGGTGCTAGGCTGGACCCAAGCACAAAGAAGGAAGCCAATTGATCAATCAAAATGATGTCACTACAAAATAAGGATAGATAATATAGGTTAATTAAGCTTGGTTGGAATCACTTAGCAAGGATGAAACTATAATTTCGACGAGGTCGAACATTCAAACTTGTAGAACTCATCTCGATTAAAACAAGAGATTTATTTGTCTTAGACCTAGAGATAGAACACTTGTAAGCAAACCAATTTCTTAAAGATAATTGTAGAACATGTCAAACAAAAGCTATGGAGATACACAAGTACCTTGTTCCTTGAAGGGAAGCAAACATGTCCCTCTTGACTATATGACGACAAAAGGGAGATGCCACATGGTGAGATTGCGAATAATGTTGTATTAAACTCATGTTTGAGCCACATTATTTTTTTATTATCATTCTTCTACTCATTTTTCACCACACATTTTTAATCATCACATCAAAAACTTTTCCTCCTTTTTCAACCACATATTTCTCATCACTTCAAAAACAAAAATGCATTATTGGCTAAAGAATGTGCATCAAACGGAGGTAAGAATCTAATGAAAGTGACCACCAAGCTAATAAGTGAATGCCACGTGTAATAGATGGAACGATCTAGTTAAAAAATCTTTTGGAATCATCTAACAACTGGTTACATCTGTTCAGAAAATGTACAAATATTAAAAAAACGTTCAGACTTAAGTTATCTATATAAATACCATACAAAATCTGAGGGTCCATTTGATTGTAAGGGTGGAAAATAAGTGAAAAGAAAATGAATTTAAGAGAAAGTAATTGTCTATAAATTATTTTGTGGGGAATTGTTAATTAAGGGTCAGTTTGATTGCAAATGTAGAATTTGGGTGGAAAGAAAACGAATTGCAGAAAATTGAATTGTCTAAAATTTGTTTTACTGAGAATTGTAATTAAGTGTGTTTGATTGGTATAATTTTTCACCTGATCCGTTTGACTTTGTTTTTCATGAAATTTGTCAATTAAAGGAATAAAATTTCTAACAATTGGGGATAGAATTTGTTTAGATTGCCAAAAAATAAAAAATAAAAAAAAATTGAAAAAATTTTTGTTTTCGTTTCACTTTATTTTTCATCAAAATTATCAATTAAAGGGATAATTTCTTTTAAAATTGGGGATAAAATTTATTTTCAAAAAAAAAAAAAAAAGATGGATTGTTTACCACAAAAATCAAAGGAATTGGAATTCTTTAAAATCAAGGAAAAGCCAATCACATGGGCAAAACCAAGAAAAGTAATTCTAGGTAAAAAAAAAAAAATTGCTTATCAAACAGGACAAAAGGTTGAAATTGGAAAAATGTTTTCATTTTCTATGGAAAAAGCAATGTATCAAACAGGCCCAAGGGTCCGTTTGATTCCAAAGATGGAAAATGAGTGGAAAGAAAATGTTTTATAGGGAATTGAATTGTCTAGAAATTGTTTTACTGGGACTTATAATTAATTGTGTTTGATAGGTATAATTTTCCACCTTATCCGTTTGGTTTTATTTTTCATGAAAATTGTCAATTAAAGGGATAAAATTTCTTACAATTGAGGATATAATTTGTTTAGATTTCCAAAAAATAAAAAAATAAAAATTGAAAAAAAATTGGTGTTCGTTTAACTTTATTTTACATGAATTTTACATGAAAATTATCAATATAAAGGATAATCTTTTTTACAATTGTGGATATATTTTATATCCATTGTCCAAAAAAAAAGGAAAAAGAAAAAAATTAAAGTATTCATTTGGGTGAAAAGGTGCACGTGTGGGGTGGGGGTGGTTGGGGGAATTTGTTTTCCAAGGCAAAATTTCCTATCAAACAACCATTTTTCATGGAAATGGAAATTGTTTTCCATTTTCCATGGAAAAGAGTGGCTTGATTGGTATAATTTTTCACCCGAAAAATTTTAAAATTTTGAATTTTTTTTAATCGTTTGGCTTTATTTTACATGAAAATTATCCATTAAAGTGATAATTTTTTCCACAATTTGTTATAAAATTTGTTTCCATTGCCAGAAAGTGATTTTTTCATCAAATTTAGTATTCGTTTGACTTTGTTTTACAAGGAAATTGTTCATTAAAGTGATTTTTTTTTTTTTTACATCTGGTTATGAAATTTATTTCCATTACCCAACCAAAAAAAAAAAAAATTGGAATTCATCACACTTTCACATCAACAGTCAGATCTAGTCCACATCACAATATGGACACCATTATGTGGCCAAATTAAGTACACTTAGACTTTTCCAAAAATTGTTAGCCCTCACATTAAAATTTTCATTCTTATTCTTCTATTCATTTTCAACCAAACATTTTTCAATAAAATAATATTTTTTCATAACATCAATAATTTTCCTTCTTCTTCAACCACACATTCTCCATCAATCTACTATTCTAAAATACATTCTTTCAAAATAATGTGGCTCAAACACACCCTTAATTTTAAGTTTTTAAAGTCAACAATTTCTATTAAATCAAGTGTTCTCAGAGGATTATTAGAGACCAAATATTTCAAGATTAAGAATTATTGGAGTCAATTCAGAGCTTGTTTGAGAGAGTTTTTTTTTTTAATCATCTTTCTCCATAATCACTTTCAACCATATTCTATGAGATCTACATATTTTCTCTACATTTTAAACTTACATTTAAAAAAAGTAAAAATAAATCAGTTTAAAAATCTCTCACAAATCGACTCTTAATTTTAGCAAGATATTACTTAGGTACATACGACCCCAAATTAGACTGCAAGATGCAAGGTACAACTTTCTTAGGAATGATAGCAGTAATAATTTTTTGAAAAATGTTTGATTGAAAATAAATTTGTAAAATATTTAATTATATAAATGTGTAGTTGAAAATGAGGTTGAGAAAAAATATTAGAAAAAAATAATGACAAATGGATTAAAGACAGTCCAGCTGCGTAGACGTCAGGTTGGCCCCCACCTGAGTTCTAGAAATTAATGAGCACGGAAATTAAGGGGAAGGGAACCGTACCCTATTTAAGATGGTTGACTTTTGTGTGAAGGCACTATTATTATTATTATTATTTTTTTTTTTTTTTGGTTAGCAGATATGTCCAATCTGACTTGTGAACGCACTTTTGTGTGAAGGCACTATTATCGGTTAATACATGTTACTTTGAATTAACAGATTTAATTTTATTTAATTGTATTTTTGTTCTTTTTGGGTATGTATATGGTTTCCCTTTTCTTTTATCTAATTGCTAAGTCACAAAATAATATCTAAACCTATGAT